TGCCTGAGACAGGACCTGAACTATGATGGTCTGTCAGTCTGCTGTGGAATGGCATTTCTGCTGCTTTTCTCTCTTTTCTGGCTCTAATATTGTATGTGAAATAGCATCAGTTTTATTCAGCCTTTTTTTAGGACAGTTCTTCAGAATGAGCTAAACCTTAAATTATATGGGCCTGAATCCAGCTTGTAGGGCAAAATAAATCATTTCCTAAAGTAGTAGAGAAGATCTCGGGAAGAGGTTGGTGGTTTGGCCTGGAACCTTTGTTTACACTTCTTTTCAAAAAAATGTTCTCATACTAGGTGTACTGGAAGAGGCTGAATTCTACAACATCACATCACTAATAAAACTGGTAAAGGACAAAATAAGAGAAAGAGACAGCAAAATCTCACAGGTGAGGCTGTTTTCTAGTGTGCTTCTGATTATTTTTTCTATAGCAAGTAGTGGGTGAGTTTCATTTTTTTCTTAATTGCTTGCTTCCCCAGTAAGACACTGAATGGCTGCCTCCTTCATAAGCTGAGCTGGAACCATTAGTACACAAAGCTTAATGTTCTTAACCTTCAGCACCTGCCTGCATATTTACAAAGGGCACAGGCACATAGTTCCAATTCTTCCAAATCTGAAAGCGTTCTAAAGAATTGTTCGAAAATGTTTAGTAATAGTGGAATCTGCCATAATATTATTTCTGGAAATAGTTATTTTAGAAAACACCTTGGATAGCATATATTTTTCTCATATACACTTAAATACTCTGAGCATGATGAGATTACCTAGCTATGGTATAACTGCTGTCTTTGAAAGTCTGTCCAATATTGAAATGGATAAATTCAGCAATCAGAGCATTCTTACCTGAAATAAACTGTTCTCTATAAGGAAGGATCACTTGATCTGTGCCTCATTCAAGCAGCTTCCCGAGGGAAGCAGGTACATCTTAAAGCATTAGATTGCAACTGAGTCAGGAACAAATTAAAGGTTAAAACATTATTATGTGTACTGCTGTGGCCCAAGATTTTATCCTTTCAACTTTTTCTTCAAATCTCTGTTAGTGTAGGTACAAACCACTCTTCTAATCCATTTTTGTTGCTTGTTTATTTTGTTCTCTAGCTCCTGTTACACACATTTGTAGCAAAGTTTCTTTATTTGAGGTGCCCTGAACTTGAGAAGGCTCTGCCTCTTCTCAAATCAGCTCGTGAATATTTCTTCATAAAAGTAAATATGACAGAGAAACTGTTAAGTAAAAAAAGTATCCAAGTTTGTGATGGTTCTCTAATTCTGGCCTTCTCTGGTAACTAGGTCCGCATGAAGATACTACAAACTGTTACTGTTGCCAGATTTCTCTTAAGACTGGGTTATGGGATAGCAGAGTTGCTCTGACAGCATTTTCTAAAAGGGTTTCAGCTGACATAGTCCTACTTATTCATTGCTTTGGAAGGGAAGGTTTGGCAGGGACCTACAGAGATTTTGGAATATGGTCAGACAGTGCATAAAATTAGGTAGGCCTCTGCAGAACTAGCCTTGAATTTTGGGATCTGCTTTTTTTGTTTTGTTTTGTTTAGTGAATCCCTATGTTAATGATGTGTAGTTTGCTACTTTGCAGATACTATTTCTGAACTTTCTGGAACACTGTAGGAAGGTCAGCTCTTTATGGATAAGTCTTAAGATTATTATGTTATTACTGATGAGTATATTTATTCTGAGTACCAACATATTTGCATAGCTTAGCTGTTTTTATCCCTGAAACATTCATGCAGCATTACTCTCTTTGAATCTTCTGTAATATCATTCTGAACAGATCACACTTCAGCAAGTTAAAATAATAATAAAAACAAACAAAGAGAGGAATTGGCAAAAAGTGTTCCTAGCTGCAGCTTATTTCAAAATAAATTCTGGGCCTATGGATAATATATGCCTTTGCCAGAGTCCAAACCCAGAACTAAGAAAGGAATTGTGGACCTAAAACACATACTCTGACATGGCTAAAGGACAAGTGGCCACTGATCTTGTGGTCTTCAATGTGTTGATGCTTACTATTTCTATAGAATGAGGCAAATTTCAGACAAGTCACAAAGATAGTGAATTCCATGCTGTATTGAGCGTCTTATGTTTCTTTCTGAAGGTGCCAGTCAAACACGTGTACAGGGTGCTGCAGTGCCAGGAAGAGGAGCTCACTCAAATGGTCTCCACAATGTCTGATGGCTGGAAATTTGAACAGGTAACAAAACATACAGGATATAATTACAAAGTCTTCTAATAATTCAGTTATGATTGGAAAGAGGAGTGGAAAGTCAATTCTACGTGCTTCTTTTTAAGTGCAGTCATTATTAGAAATTGGACAGGTAAAAAGATAACACAACTAAATTAAAATCTGATATCTATATGCTTGTTTGTCCGAAAACACAAGATCTATATTTCTTCTGGAGTTAGACTGAGCTGACTTTCTATAAAAACACCTACGGCACATTTCAAATGTAATTCTTCAGGATCTACAAGGGAACATTTGAAGGCTGAATAAACCAAAAGGCTGGACCCCCCTATTACGAGTTTATACTAATAGTGGGTCAGATATAAAGACCTCTGGGTAAAAGAGATGGTCTTGGGAGATAAATGTTTGTTAGGCCCAAACAATGACTCTTCAGGAAAAGGACGGATATCCATCAGAGGGAGTAATTAACCAGTGCTGCTATGAAGCTGAATGGATACGAGCTATGTGAATGTTTCCTCTCTCTGCGCGGCATAAAAATATGTTTGCATGTACATTGAAGAATAAATTGTTAGATTACAAGAAAACTTTTCTGTTACCATCTTTGATAATCTTTGTAAACAACAAACTAGCTACATGGTGTCTTCATCCTTTGTGATCATCACCTACCAGAATATCTAAATTGCATTAGAGCAATGAATCTGTTAACTCTAGAGCAAGACAAAAGTGCTCAGCAAACATTGTTCTCAATGTCTGGTGCCTCTCTGGTAAGAGAGATTGGGATAAACACAAGCCTTTTATCCTGTGCTGCCTTCCCCCAATAACACCACAAAGTAACATTTAAAAAAGATATAGCAGAGAGACCTACGAGAGCATTTAGTTTTTATTCAGTGGAATGTGTAAGGGGCTCATGTCATAGAGAAGGCCATGCTCAAATAAACTACCCCGATACACAGAAAGCTTCTTATGCTTCAGTTCTCTGGCTCAAGTATTAAAGATCCATTTGGCATGCTAGAAGCTAAATGTTGTTTAGGTCACGAAAAAAAGCTCTCACTTAATCCACGTGGCTGTTTTTTGACTAGTCCATTGACTAAGGTTCCTGGGCATTCTTCTTAGCCATGGGAAATCAGCTTTCGTTACAAATAGAGATTCCTCGCTTTTTAACTGATCAGAGGGTACTGTAACTTTTACCAGTCCTAAAACCTTGTATTCCTTCGGAATATTGCACTTGGGAGTACTATTGCTTTGACAGTGCAACTGCAGAAAGAACTATTGCAATCTCTTTCAGAATTTGTATTTTGGGAAAATTCCAGTGATTTTTCTTTTTTTGTACATTATCTCCTTGTTTCATCCAGCTTTCTCTCTGCTTCCTCTTCACCCCGTTGTTCTCACTTGGACATGTAATTTGAGGTTGATAGACACAACAGATGTATGGTCACTTTTTATTCAACTTTATTACCTCAGCCTAGGCCATTCTTTGCTTTGGTTGTATTGCAGACCTGCTTTTAGCAGACGTCATTCACTTGCAACATGATTATGATATTCGCTGTAATCCAAACTGTTTTATTGTTAGGATTTGAGAACACTGTAGCATTTCTGTCATGCTTTTTTCTAAATAGATTTGTCTTACTAAGCAGCATGTTCCAGAAGCTGTCTTTGGGATGGCACCTACCGTGCTGTGTGTATGTGTGTGTGTGTGTGTGTGTGTGTGTGTGTGTATATAAAATGTATATATCACTGGTGGCACAGAAGTCATCTACTTTCTCAGAGGAGTAATATTCCTATAGGTTGAGAGTCCTTGTACTCTGTGCCCCATGTAACATGTTTCAGTGGTTGATTTTGATTAAAAATGTTTCTTTCTCTTAGAACATTTGAAAAATTTCTCTTAAAATACAATTGGATGTGATAATTAAATGGGAAAGTGTTAAACTTCTGATAGACTTATGAGGATGCATTGATGCACTTTTCCAGAGAAGATAAATGAATGAAAACCTTGCTAGTAAACCACAATTGTATATCCGTTCCAGTCCAAAAACTACCGCGAAGAAGTGTTCTCCGTTAGAGCAAGGGACTTAAAAGTGGCTGCACTACCCCACTTTTGTGATTTTACTGAGTTGTTCTGTAGATGATTATAGCTTAAATTGTTACCTCTTCAGACAATCAGAAAAATAATATTTTGGCATTACTGCGTAGTGAGAAATTTTGGGCTATACCAAATTTCTAAATGCAAAGTCTTTAGAGAAGTCATGTCAAGTAAAGTCATGTAAATTTAATGATTAATGTAGCCTGAGCCTGGCACCATAACACTATCTTAAATAGATTTACTACATGAGAAAGACAGTATTTAGCTGCTCCCTTCAAAAGTATTCAAATAACAATAGCAGAATATAAATAACTTTACTGATCATGAGCCTTTTCATTATCAGTAATCTTCAGTTTACTCTGTGTAGGCAATTGTTGTCTAGTTCTTCACGATTAATTTAAAGCTCTGATCTTTCTCAAGTGCACTGGCAGGCTGTGCTTTAATCTGAGTTAGACATTGCAATGTATTATTAAGATAAAATATTTTTTGTAATGAGAAGATAAGAAATTTAGCTGAGATTGTTCTGAACTTCTTAATTATTAGATATTTGGCCATTATGAACAAAGTTCTTGGTACTGACTTTCATAGGAACAAGACCATTTTTCATGCTACAGGACTCTTCTTGGTTCTTCCGTAAATTACCCCTTTTAAAACCAGTTTATAAACTCTCAACTTTTTTCTTCTAATTGACTTCATATGTCTCGATAGCCATATTTTCTATATGAACATCTGGAACAAGACAAGGTTCTTCCATACCTGGACTGGATTCAGTGCTTTATGTAACATCTTCCAGTCTTACGTCCACGTGTGCACTTGGTGTGTATAACAGGAAAACAGTGCTCTCACTTTCATAATACAAGAAACTTCGTTTTGGATTTTTAGACTAGTTGGCAATTCCACGACGGTATTGAGAGTTTTCTGATTTATGATCAGTAACTCTAACTTGCCTTGAAATTATGAAGGGCTTTGCAACCGCCTCCATAAAATTTAAGAATGTTGGAATTAAAGTTGTAGCTTGATAGTAATCTGTTCTAGTGGCAAGTAAATGTTACCTAACATTTGAGCTCATCTGTTATTTGTACAATTTGGATAACGCTTGTGTGGTTCAGCTTTACAAAGGTTTCTTTTTGTCTTTTGCTCTGATTGGTTATTCCAGCTTGTCAGTATAGGTTCCCAGTATGGCTGTGGCCGGGCCCAGCAGTCAGAGTATCTGCTGATAGTGTCACGGGAAGTGAAAGGGGAAGAGAGATGCTTCCAGAAATGCTGCAGTGAGGTGTGTTACACCATTCTTTTTGCCCTCACACCAATATGCTTGGCCTCCTTGCCTTTCTGCTGCTTTCAAATCATTCCACTTTATTCCTGGGTGTACAGCACATAGTAGTTTGTGTGTAATTGTGACTGGCTTTTATTTATATTCACAGTATTTCATTACGCATTATGAACGTTCATATTGTTAAAAAAAAAATCCTAGTTATTTAGACTTTTGAGTCAAAGATTTTTCTTAAGAATTCTTATCTTCTTACATCTTCCTCCAAAGTTAACAGCCTTTGATCCACACTTGTTGAGTAAAAGATGCACAATTTAAACATCAGGACCTCGGCAAATAATAGCTCTGGGTTCACTGAATTCAGAAAAAGAGATTTCTGTTATTTGTTGTTCCAATTTGAATACATTTCGTACATCTAATAACCAGCTAAGGTCTGACTCTCAAGTTCTCTATTTCTGAAAAGGCAGAAGAGGGAGGGGAGTTAGTTTTTAAAACCCTTATCAAGAGGAAGAAGTATCCTGTTCTTTTTCTTGGGAAACTTTCTTGAAATCCTGGTGAAGAATGATAAGTTTACCTATTTGTTCTTTAGGCTATCTCATCTTTCCTGCTCCCCTCACCACCAAGTTACTGCTTTTTAAATTGCTGTGTTACTTCCCAGTGTTTGAGAGTTTGGGAGGTTTGTTTTCACTAGGCAGTAACACTGGAAGCAGTTCCCATTTCTTTACCTTGCTGTGCTTCATTTTGAAGTGACTTATGTGCATCTATTTGGGAACCTGGTGTTCCATAGTGTTTTTCATCAGTAAAATACTTGGAGAAAACTTATTCTTTTCCTTGCTACATGGTTGTTCAGTCTGAGAAAGTAATATAACATCATTAAAATAACATGTCAGTAAAGTGGTTGCATGAGCAGAAACTTGCCTATGAGTTTACATGGTCACTAAGTCATGCAATTCTAAATTTTAAACCTAGACTACTGTCTAAGTTCCAGAATCTGTTTTCAAGGTACTAAGCAATATCTATTTTTTGCAGTTGTATGGGTAACATTTGGAATTAGTGCACTGGTTTTGCTGACTTTTTGGAACTGAGAAGGGTACCTGAGCTATTGCTCAGGATGCCTAGGGTACAGATACCATGATGTTGTTCATATGTTTGTGTCCTAGAGAGCTCGAAGTAAAATTCAAAGTAATAGAATAGGAGATAGGGGAAGGCAGTATAAAATCTATAGGACTCTGGAAAGGAATAAACTTTCCTTCCTCTTATGGTTGAGGTCTGACAGTTGATAAATTTCATCCTCAAGAGGCCTGAAATCAATATGCTTGCAGTCCCACTGTCAGTCATCAGTGCTCAGGTTAAAGGCTAATGTGTATGTATTTTTATAGCCTTTTGCAAGCCTTTTGCAAAGGCAGCGGAATGAACACAATGTAAGTCTAGAAGGAGTGGAGGCTATTCTTATATTACACAACTTGATCCTCTAAAAAATTTGAGGGGAAAACTAATCTATTTTATTCTGCCAACTGTTAGTAAAATTAAAAAAGACAAGCTTTCCAAGATACAAGCAGTTCTCCAGGTCTGAAATGGAAGCAGTAATAATCTAAGTTAAATAGAAGTTGAGAATAATTGTTAAGAGTTGTCCTTGGTTTGAGAATTAGACCACCACAGAAAGAGAAGGAAATTGCTAGTCACAAAGTAGAAGGGGCAGTTAATATAAATAACTCCTGTGGTAAGAAGACAAAGGCAGGTACACAGTTGCTTGTGCAAGTCGGAGCGGTTATCTGTGACGGCAGTACTCTTGCCAGTTTTTCCTATAGATGTACTATACAGATTCTAAGTCAGTGTCATTATACTAGTATAGCAATTCTGTATAAAAAAGCTTTTGAAATTAGGCTGGTTTTGAGACCTATATCTGGCATTCAAGTAGGCATGAGATTTGTTCACTTTAGAAGTAAAGTTTCTAAAAGTGAGACACCAGCCATTTTGTCCAGGTATAGCCTGTTCACATGGATATTTTTGGTGTGCAGTCATTGATTTAACACTGGAAGAGATTTATATATTCTGCTGCCATTGAATAACTTGATGCAGGTGTGATTTACTTGTAGTTGAACTGTTCTGTCAGCTGTACCAGTTCTATCATCTGCTTTTCTTAAACAATTTTTAAAATACATTATTTTTTTCCTTACAGACCTGCAGACTTTGGAAAAAGTTCTTCAGAAAGTTGCCTCATTGTTATCCCTCAAATTATTATTAACTCTTTTCTTCTTTGAAAACAAGCCTGACCATATCTAGGCGTCAGGTGGTCTCTGTCCACTGTTGCTTATGCCAAATTTTTTTTTCCCCTTTGCCCTTTCTGATGGATGTCTTTTATCATACTTTATGGGACAAGCTTTATGGGACAGGAACTTCCCTCTTGTCATTTCTGTCTTCAGTGTAATGCAAATAACTCTATTTCTGTTAATAAAAATTATTTAAATGCTTTCCATCCCTGCCTTTGTTAGTTGCAGCTGACAGCCTACTAGTCTGAGCTGTTAGTTGCAGCTGACAGCCTACTAGTCTGAGCAGCCTTATTCTACACAAACAACGAATGGATCATGATCAAGTGAATTTTCTGTGATATTTAACATTAACATTTTTCCTGTGCTCAGTTATGACCCTATTTGGGGTCACAGGGGCACTCAAGCAGGATCACGGTATGTTAGTAAAAAGTATAATGAAACAAATCATAGAAATAAAAGAGGAAAAGTACATATAAATAGCATACAAATCTATGAAAATATCCTTTCCAAAAGTTTGAGAAGCACTGGGCTGGATAACCTAAAAGCCTGTTGGTATTCACTGTTTTATGTGTCTCACGTGCAGACCTCAGATTATTCTGATTTGCTGCTGTTTTTTTAATTAATTAACAACTCCTTCCAGTTTTTCAGCATTCTTTTTAAAACGTGGCTAGCAATACTGGGAATGCTGAGATGACTTTTGGAATACTAATGCATAATATTGCTTTATTTCTAATCATATTTTCTGGCACTATAGTTCAGTTCTAATTTGCAACTATTTTCCATTGTTTCTTTTCTGCCCTTCCCCTTACTGCTGCTGATGCATCTCAAGAAGCTACGATGAAGTTTCTAGCGTACTGCTGACACTATGCAAATAGTACATTTTCAGTTGTAGATGTATGGAACTGTTTGCAACAGTATAGCGCAACTGAGTTTTGAAGAAATGGTACTTAGCATTACAAAGGAAACTTTATCTTGAAATGCACTTGCTTAATAATGCATGCACTGATTAGTAACAGCAAAAAGTCATCCAGACTAACCATAGCCAGAAAAATCAATAGTTTTTATCCTGCTAGCTAAGAAATAGTCAGTCTGCCATGTCTCCTGAAAAGAATCATATCCAAAAGCTCAACTAAAGCATGAATGGGGGATTTTAAGTAGCTATCTGCTGAAGACATTTCCTTGTTAAACCAGGATTCACGATTTGGCTCATGTTAGGGGCTTGTATCACATCTGTTTGTGGGGAGATCATTTGTGTGTGTTGATCATCAGTGAGCATCAATGAGTGAAGTTATCTTTTTTCCTTTCTGGTAGGATAATTACTACAGCTGTTACCATAGTTTATCTGATATCTAGTTCTTGCCATTTTGCAAGAAGAAAGTTGACTGCATACTAAATTAAATCATAAACTTTAATTTTATTTTTCAAATTTCCCTCCAGAGAAGGGTAAATTATGTACAGCTTTATTTAAACGTGTATCCAACTTCTTTTAATTTTTTTTGGCCTTTAAGTGGGTTACCATCTAGGTCCAAAAACTTTGACATTGCCTAGAACCGGTATCAAGTTGGTTCATGGTGAAGGCATAGTGCTGCTACTACTACTACTGCTGCTCCTTGTGGACGCTGTCCGTATCCATCTGCTGAGATGCTTGCTTGGCTGTCTTACCATAGTATTGGAGCATCTGAGCATCTCTGTTCCATCTGCTCTTAAAAGTACAGTGAGGCTTTATTCTCTCGTGGCAGTCCTTTATGGAAACTGCATTTAACCGTGGTTTATCTTCTGCTTTTGTTGGAGGAATAGTCTTATCCCTCAAGTGTGGATCCTAGAGCAAGAGTCCATCTTGGCTACACCTTCCCTGCTTTAACAAGTCTTTCGCTCTCTTTGTTGCTCTGTTAGGCTGGTGTAAGTATGCAGTTTGCTTTTAGATAGAGATCCGTAGACTATTTCAAATGCTGCTGCCCTAAAAAAACAAGTTAAGCTTTTTCTTTGGGGCTGTAATCAAGGCATAGTAATAATGTGATAGAGACCGATTAGTGATCTGGATTTTGGACTAATAACTTCTGTCATAAAGGGGTTGAAAATCAAGTGTGTGCGCTGAAGCCTGGGGAATAGAACAGCCTTATCACATGTCTGTGGTGGCTTGGTAGGTAGATTTAGTATAGTTGTGGTGATGACACTTAGGTGCACTGTGTCTGTGCAACGGGTTGATATTTAGGTCCTTGATCTGTGTCGGTAATTACAATACTGTACATAATCTTGTCATGCTTTTGAAACATACCTTTTAAAAACCTAAGCTAGCTACATCTGAATTGATTCTGGCTGGGAAAGACAGGCTATGTAAAACTTCTAGTATTAGGTATGTGTACTGTGTGTAAGGTAAGAAAAGCTATATAAAACTTCTACCATTTGATAAACATGCTGCATATGAGATAATACTGATGTTGACCATACGCTTCTTTCTCAGTAAGTTGTCATCTTTCAAAATTGAGACTTCTAGAGGCTTGTAAACATTTCATTATACATGGCTTCCGCTTTTATCGCTTCTTTAATTAACTTCCCTATAGGATTGCACATGAATTTCAAATGTTAGTCTTAGCGTCCCACCATGCTGTGTCTTGCTGTTTTCCAGTCAAATGCAGATTTCAGCTTCATCCACTCAAAATACGTTTTAATAGAAGGACCATAATTCTATAAGTAAAGTGGTAGGTGTCCCTTCAGGCTAGACTGCTTCCTGCATGCAACCATTTACGTGTTAAATCACACCACACTGAGACACCACGTACAGACTTTTTAAAAATTAACTTTGGAGGATGGGAAGGTTTCCAGTAAATAACAGGACACAGGGTGCTTCTCCACTGGCCTACCTCTGTAGGCTTTTCTTTGACAGTGTAATCATAACCTTAAGCCATTCAATTTGTAAATGTTTAAAAAGAAAAGCTATGTCTGTCTTATCATCAGAATGTCAGTGTATTTGTCAATATTGAAAAGTATTTGCATTGAAGTGGAGAATCATGCTTCAGGCACAGCTAACAGTCTGAAGAGTGAGGAGTGTTTGTGTTGATAATTGATGGAGATTATTTTATGTGGAAATGCAATTGACTTTTTTTCTTCTTTCAGCTGGTTAGCATTGGTTCTTCCTATAACTATGGCAATGAAGATCAGGCTGAATTTCTGTGTGTTGTCTCAAAGGAATTGCATAACACTCCCTATGGTACAACCAGTGAACCCAGTGAAAAAGCAAAGGTGAGTTACTAGACACTGGAGTAAAGAAATGAAAGATGTTAAAGCAGGTGGACTAGGCTAAGTCATGTTAGGCTTACCTCTCTTCTGGACCTTGCTAAAAGTGCTAATTGCCCTCTTCCTCCCCTCAAGAATAGTAATGGTTCCCTGTTCATTGTAAAAGGGAACATAAATGGTAGTCAACATGCATTTGTTGTACATATAAAATAGGTTCTTTAAATGGACTACTGTGTACTGTTCCTGATATGTTATGTTGTTTGAGTACTAGCAAACATTTGCTGTATACATTTGAGGATCTATTTTTCGTTTCTTATGCATTTGAAAGATTTCTCATTCTGCTACTGATGCAGTTGAAAACCGTTTTTCTTACTTGAGTTCAACTGAAGAATTCTCACTATCAAGAATGTAGCTGTAATATGCTCTTTCTGAAAAATACAGTCCTCTGCAGTATGTTACAAGATATATTCCTCTTAAATGAAGATATCTGTTAGCTTACTGTTTTCAGGATTCCACCTAGTTCTCTTTTCTTTCTGTAACCAACTTTACAAAGAGATTGTAATGGGTGCAGTACCTTAGCAGTTTCATCGATTACCTTTCAGCGTTTGTAGAAGGAAAAGATAAAGAAAACCCCACAACTGAACTGTAATAAGTTTGGCCAGTTATGTATGTAAGTGAATTAGACTGTTCTCTTCCATGTGTATCAAGCATTTTCTATCATGGTACTGTTACCTTGTGTGAGGAGATGGCTACAGATGAGCTAGCTACTGTTGTAGCTAGCTTAAAAGCTTTTAATTTAGTATGTTCAAATGGGAAACAGTTGGTTAAACATCAAGGATTGCATTTTCAAGAATCACTTCCTAAGAAACAAATCGTGAGGTTTGAAAGATAAGTAATGCTAAAAAGTGATCTGGGTCTTGATACTGGGGCCCTGTTATGGGAACAGTTCGACCCTAGGTTTCAGAGGAGCAGAGTCTCACGCACGTGTAGCAGCAAAATTAATTATTTATTTAAATGATGGTACAGCATAGTAACAGCTCGAGCTGGGTGCCTCCGGGAAGGGACCCCAAACAAAGAAATTCTGGGGTAGTTATACCTTTTACAGTTTTGTTTCCCTGCCTGCCAGTGAAGGTCTCCTCCAGTCTTCGTTACTGAGTTGGTGGTCTCTCTCTCCTTCTGTCTGGTGTCTCTCTCCTTCTGTCTGGTCTTGGCCTTCAACCCAGGCTGGTTGCCATGTCCTTGTTTCCCACAGACCCTTATCTTCTCGAAGGTCAACCACAACCCAGGTGCATCCCATCTTGTCTCCTGCATTCTACTTTGTATCCTCATTAGCTAGTTTTGTATCTTTATTAATGATTTTAATCGGTTTTGCAGTTATATCGTCGGCAATATTACATCGTCAGCAATGTTTCTCCAGTTCACTGACAGTTCGGCCTCGAGGCTTGCAGGCTTCATCTACTTTAGGCACTTATGCTAAGCAAGAGTCAGACTTATGCTAAGCTGAAGCTCAATCGGCTACAGTTTCCTTCCCTAACAGTGCTGAAGCTAAATCAGTTACAATTTCCTTCTCTAACAGGCCCCAAGTGTACTGTAACCACTTCACTACCTTCTGTGGCTTGTAACTTGGTGTGCTGCTCTCTTGCAAATGAAACTATAAAAATACTCAAAGCTTTATGTTAGATTCTTAGCGAAATAATCGTTTTCTGCTATTTTGTCACAGTTGAGGTAAATCTTCCAAAGAGTTGCGAAGGATTAATTTATTCAAGGGTAAACAGTGAAGCTGGGTAAGCCATGGTGCTGTTTTTCTAAAACCCTAGACAAGGTCTGCCTTTGCTATGATGCTTCAGGAAAACTGAAAAGTTGACAAGTTAGAGGAGTAAGGTAATGGTTCAGGGCTGGGATAGGTACCTGAAATAAAAAGTAGAATTCTTGAATGTAATATATGTCTTGATAAGGGATCGTAGTAATAGTAAATCTTAGGCAGAAAAGCGCTTCAGTGGTTCCCAGAGTTACATTACATCCTTAACTTAATAGAAAATATGCAGAATATCAAACCAAATTATTAAAAAATGAGCAGAACAGCTAGTCCAGAGTGCAATATGACTCCTGTACATTTAGTAGCTCTGAGAGAAGCTAAATCTTAGACCTTCTTGATCATCATTTCAGAGAGGGAGGCAGAGCAAATTTGACCAGGGTGAAGAATAAGAACTAGAGTTAATCTTTAGTTGCAGGTATAAGCATTCAGTCCTTCTGCCCTGGAAGAATTGAGCTGTTGCTAGTAATTAATGACAATAAGCAGTTTCCTGTCTAATGGAAACTTTTGTAACCAGTAATTGTAGCAGCTTTTCACTTCCTAAGGCCAGAGGAACTGCACTGCTGCTATCTCAGCAAAAAAGTGGTAAATGAGATAGTGGTATATGCAAAGGTTAGCCTTAGCTGGAACTGTGTATGGTATTAATATAAACCGTTTCGTTACAAGCAGCCTGATAGCTGTAAACTGAAGTGTTTACTTTTTGAAGAGAAATACCTGGGGCTGGTTTTCGAGGGAGGGCAGGGAGAGAGGTAAGGCAGCAGAAAGGAGGGCCATGTGAGAACCAGAGTGCTAAAGGGTTGCAGTTCTACAAAGTCTGAGAAACTGCATTAGACAATCAAAAGTTCTTTATGATACCATGAGAGTCACCTTAGAAGGCGAATGGATGAAATTATCCCCAGACATTGGCTAGTTATTTACCATTTGGAAGTATAACATTGAGAGTCTCTTTAGCAGTGTGTGTGGATAACAGCAAAACAGAGGAATTAATTTTGAAAAAAGAACTTACTGGAATCTTCAATGTGTAAATTTGCCCATCAGCCGCGTTATGACAGAGAATGTCTTAAAGTGATGCTCTGAAGAAGAGTGGATTTTGGGATTCTTCATCAAACTTGAAGAATCATGTTTGATGTATTGTTCTTTTAATAGATCCTTTATTTTATAG